CAAAAGCATGGATGGAGTGTTTGTGTGAACTAATATAAATTCAAAGTAAACATCATTACATAAAAGGGTACGGTCTTTTTTTTTAGTTTTATTCATTTCAAACGGGCCGGATCCGGCCCTCGGGCGGGGTTTGCCCACGCTGGACTAGAGGATACTCAAATTTCCTATGTCCAAAACTGAACGCATAATCTTACTTCTGTAACCCTCTACCTCCTCTTCATTCCCTATTTTGGTAAACACTTCTCCCAGTACTTCAAGCCATGTTTGAGGGCTATCCCTCCACCTCCTGCCTCAGACTAGCACATCAAATCAGCATCTGTGGATGCTAACCTCTACCGCCCCATCGCTGCCACAGCCTCTGTCAAGTCCCTATCACCTTGCACCTTTCACTGCAGTTGTCCCCTAACTTAACTGCTTTCACCTTTACAACCTTCTGCCTCCTCCCAATATTCTTCACCGTTACCTAAATGTACCTTTCTAAAGTACAAAACTGATCATATGTCACTCACCCATTTAAAAACACTCAGTGGCTTTCAAAAACTTTGAGGATAAGTTCAAAACGCCACACAGCCTATGAAGTCCTGTTAATCACGCCTACCTCATCTTTTACTACTTCCTTTCCTGCACTCTGGGCTTTCATCTGCTACTTGCAGTTCCCTAAATATGCTCTCACTTCTCTGCCCTCTTCCTGGAGGATTCTTTCCTGCTCCTTAACCTGACTCAGGCCTTCCTTCTCTACACCCTCTAGTCTGGGCTTAGGTGTTCCTTCTCTGTGCTCCCAGAGCACCTGTAGTCACCTCTACCAAAGTAAAAGTTGCACCTTTCACCAAATTCAAACGGTCCACTGGATGGAAGGTATGCTCCCATACAGACGTACAAAATGTGAACCCACCAGGGCCAGCACCATACATGGCCACAGCAATTCATCAACATACTTTTTTTGAGTAAGTCAACTTATGAATGTATAAACATTACATTCACATCGTTTTTAGGGCTTAATTTTTCAAACACTTTTTTGGTAGCAATATAAATAGTCCACTTCCCTCACATTTGTAGAATAATGATCAAGTACAGCTTCTAGAAAAACAATGATTGCCTAATCACTCAAAAGTTAAAACTTCCTCTAAAGTTACTCTCTGGGCAGCTTAGTGTGCAAACACATGCCACTGAAGAGCAAATGAAGGCCAGGAGCGCAGGGTAATGGGATAGTACATCCTGAAGTCGTCCTAGAAACTGACAGTGAATGAAGAAAGTGCCTGCCACCCAGGGGAGGGACAAAAAGCTGGAACTTTCAGGCCGCAAGACTTCAGAAGATAATGAACCTGTCCAGGATACCCACGCATACTGTATCTTCCGCTCCGAGAACAGTAACGATCATTCTCCTCTGGCTTCCAGAGCCCTGAGCACTCACTGGAATGCCAGCAGGTCCTCATGAAAAGGGCTGCTATGAGGAGCCATTTCTATAAAAGATGAGCCACCTTAGACCACCACAGAGCAATCAAAACACCCAACTAGAGTTACAAGCAGTGAATTATCTAAGTCAAACTCCATAAAGACAAGATATTTCCTGCTGGCAATATTTAAAAATAGGTGGGTTGCTGCTAATGCATTTAAAACTCAATTCTAAGTGCAGTGCTTTAGAATTTAGTAGGTTAACGAACCTCTCCCCAGGTAGTATAAATTTTGAATCTGGTGACAGATGAGAAGTTTGCAGGAGGCCCCCAAATTTGTTTTTAAAAGAAATAGCTAAGCAAGTTATAGTGATCTTTTCAAGGGCAAAATTGCTAAAAGCAAAACAGAAGGAACTAGCTGTTCTCATCTCAGTGAGAAACCTAAAGCAACACAGGGAGTTCTTTTTCTCCTTCTATTTCAAGTTAGTATCTGGTTTAAGTCACGTATCACAAGTATGAAAACTGAAGTACAAAATAAGTTTAAAAAAACTCATCTGAAATAGCTTTTTAAAGAACTAATGATACAGATTTCAATGCTTTTGAGTGTTAAAGGCTCTATGACCCGGGAGATTTCTGCTGCCATGGGTCCACCTGGTGTTGTTTCTGTGCATGGTATGTGTACGCATGCTACAACAGCTAGCGTGTAAGGGGCTGGTGAAACACCTTGCATACTGCACAAGGAAAGCCTCATGGAATACGATGCCCTACATTTATTTTAGTACCGGGAGACCTATACTGGACTCCGACCTCTTGCACTGCAAGATGATAAATTTGTGTTGTTTTAAAGCCACTGAGCTTGTGATAATCTGTTTCAGCAGCAACAGAAAACCAATGTACCTAAAAAGATCACACTACTTGTCAAGGTCCCACAATGACTCAAACAGGTCTGAGTCTTTCTTGTCCACTGTTCTTTCCTTCACACCACTGCACTGACAAGTTTCTCTAAAATAAACATCTTTGTATATCAAAAAAAGGTCATATAATTCCCCCAAAACATTTACTATGTAAAATAAAGAAAAATAAAATTGTTCCTAATTAAGCCAAGCAGTTTTATAATTTCCTTTCTTGTACTGTTTTGTGTTGAATTGCTTTTTGTTTGCTTAACTTAATATGAAACATTAATTGTTCCAACACTGTCCGCAAACACGTTGCAGTACAACTGGTTAGATAGCTGATTAGTTCAAAGAGTCTGAATTTTCACTAATGTTCTGGGTAAATTTTTTTAAAAATATATATTTTATTGATTTTACAGAGAGGAAGAGAGATAGTTAGAAACATCAATGAGAGAGAAACATCGATCAGCTGCCTCCTGCACACTTCCTACTGGGGATGTGCCCGCAATCAAGGTACATGCCCTTGACCAGAATCGAACCTGGGACCCTTCAGTCCACAGGCCAAGGCTCTATCCACTGAGCCAAACCAGTCAGGGATGGGTAAATTTTTTTTCATTCAACAAGAGGCCTTTAACCAAGAAACTCTTGTGTTGTCCCTGTATTGTTACTTTGATAATTTATTCTCCTCAAATGCTCTGTTCTCTCCTCTGTGGAATTCTAATTGGGCAGATTTTGAACTCCTGGATCGATCACCTAATTTTTTTTTAACTTCTCCCTTGTACTTTCTATATCTCAATTTGTTTCACTTTCTGGAAGATTTCTTTACTTTCCAGCCCTTCTACTGGACTTCTTCATTTCAGCTATTCTATCATCTCTGAACACTGTCCTCCTGATTTGTTCTTTCTCTTTCCTTTACATGCACATTGTTTTTGTTTAATGAGTCCAATATCTTAATCATCTGAGGAATATTCATGTTGTTTTTAGTTCTTTTCCAACCCGTTAGCATGTATTTCCTCCAAGTTCTTTTACTCAGTTCATTTATTTTAGCTTCCTTCATACCTGGCTGTAACAGGGAAATTCGCAGTCTCTCTGGCTCCATCTTGTTCAAGCCTGTGTAGGTCCCATGGCCTTCAGGCTAACAGCGCCTGCTTTGTCTTGCATGTAGACATGTTAATCATTAGAGGAATTCCAAAAACAGGCCCTCCCATTTCCCCTTCCCTTGACATAAAAGAAGCCTGAACTCGGTCTGAAGATGAATGTGAGCTACCACTAGGCTCCCCTCTTCTCAGCTGGGATCTCATCGGTCAATAAACTTTCCTTACTTCAACCTCTGACGTTTGAGTTGTGGACTTTTGAAGCATCTGGCACACAGACTTAGGACTGGTAACATGGTGATCATGGACTGTCCAACGAGGCTTCCCTGTGTGCATCCAGCATGCTAAATGGTGGGGTCAATGAAAGGCAATAAGGTGGCAAGCTGACTTTTTCCTCGGGGAGCCCACAACTGCAGATATGACCGGGTCTTTTATGTAGAATCTAGAGAAGGAACTGGCTGAAGGCCAATCTGAGGGAATCGACCCTGGCTGAAAGCACTCTAAGAGTAAGGTGGTTTAAAAATGCTGGCTTGCTTTTTGTCAGTATCCCCTCTTCAGGCAATTAGGTTGTTGATGCATTTAGTAAATTTTCTATCATCCATTTTAAAAAGTATCTCTCATCCAGGGTTATCTCCACTCTCCATTTTCTTTTCCTTTGTGGGCTTTATCTTTTTATACATTTTATTGTTTACAAGTTTTACTCTTTTATTTTACATGCAATAAACCTTAATATTTCAAGAAAATGACCTTAGATGTGTTACATGCAATAAACATTAATATCTCAAGAAAAACAATTTTAAATGTTACATGCAATAGACACCAATTATTCAAGAAAAATCATCTTATATATAATACTACATACAATAAACATTAATACTTCAAGAATAAAAGGATTTTAAGTATAATAATATTACCAAAACTGTACTAACATAGTATGATATCACAAAAGCTGTAGGAAATATTAAAAATCTGCAAACAGGATTACTTCTATTATATTCTACTATATATTTTTCCCCCCTCTGGCTCTATTTCTCTTAATCAGTTTATGTTGTTCATTATACTCCACAAATGAGTAAGATCATATATTTATTTTTCTCCAACTGGGTTATTTCGCTTAGCATGATGCTTTTAAAGTCTATTTTGTCGGATGTGAGTATTGAACTCCAGCTTTTTTTTCTTTTCTATTTGCATGGAAAAATTTTTTCCATCCCTTCACTTTCATCCTGTGTCTTTTGTTTTGAGATGGGTCTCTTGTAACCAGCATATAATTGGGTCATGTTTTTGTATCCATTCAGCTACCCTACACCTTTTGATTGGAGCATTTAATCCATTTACATTTAGGGTTATTGAGAGGTACTTATTTATAGCCATTTTAATTCGGTATGGCTAGGTTTCTCTCTCTGTTTCTCTTTCGCAGCAATCCTTTTAGCATTTCTTGTAATGCTGGCTTGGTGGTGATGAACTTCTTTAGCCTTTTTTTGTCTAGGAAGCTCTTTATTTGACTGTCTATTTTGAATTATAGCCTTGCTGGATATAGTAATCTTGGTCTCAGATCCTTGCTTTCCATTACCTTGAGTACTTCATGCCATTCCCTTCTGGCCTGTAGAGTTTCTGATGAGAAATCAGGTGTCAGCCTTATGGGAACTCCTTTGTAGGTACGTTTTCGTTTCTCTTGCTGCCCTTAAGATTCTCTCTTTGTCTTTAATTTTTAGCATTTTAATTATGATGTGTCTGGGTATGGGTCTGTTTGGGTTCTTCTCGTTCGGGGTTCTCTGCGCCTCCTGAACTTGTGTGACTTTTTCCTTTACCAGGTTAGGGAAGTTTTCTACCATTATTTCTTCAAACACCTTCTCTATTCCTTTCTCCCTTTCTGCCTCTTCTGGCACACCTACTATTCTAATATTGTTACGTTTCACATTGTCCCACAGCTCCTTTAAGCTGTTCTCCTGACTTTTAATTGTTTTTTCTTTTTGGTTCTCTAATTGAGTGATGTTTTCACCTCTGTATTCTAATTCACTGATTCAATCCTCAGCTTCCCCTAATCTGCTGTATATTTCTTCCAATGTGTTCTTTATTTGTGTTATGTCATTCTTTATCTCAGACTGTTCTTTTTTCATAGTTATTATATCTTTTTTCATACTGTTGAGCATTTTAAACATCATTACTCTGAACTCTGTTTCACATAAATTTCTTATCTCTGCTTCATTTATCTCTTCTTCTGGAGAATTCACTAGTTCTTTCATTTGGGGGTTGTTTCCTTTGGGGGGGGGGTTCTTGTTTCCTCATTTTGGTTGTCCGTTTGGTTTGTGACTATGTTTTAGGTAGATCCTCTATACTTCTCAATCTCTAGTGCAGGACAGTGTTAAAGGCTGTTTCTGACTAATTGGATCAGGCAAAGACTCAAAGCCTCCAGAGACCACCTCTGTCTACAGCAGTGGTTCTCAACCTTCCTAATGCTGCGACCCTTTAATACCAGTGGTTCTCAACCTGTGGGTTGCGACCCCTTTGGCGGTTGAACGACCCTTTCACAGGGGTCGCCTAAGACCATCCTGCATATCAGATATTTACATTACGATTCATAACAGTAGCAACATTATAGTTATGAAGTAGCAACGAAAATAATTTTATGGTTGGGTCACAACATGAGGAACTGTATTTAAAGGGCCAGAAGGTTGAGAACCACTGCTTTAATACAGGTCCTCATGTTGTGATGACCCCCAACCATAAAATTATTTTCGTTGCTACTTCATAACTGTAATTTTGCTACTGTTATGAATCGTAATGTAAATATCTGATATGCAGGATGTATTTTCATTGTTACAAATTGAACATAATTAAAGCATAGTGATTAATCACAAAAACAATATGTAATTATATATGCGTTTTCCGATGGTCTTAGGCGACCCCTGTGAAAGGGTCATTCGGCCCCCAAAGGGGTCGCGACCCACAGGTTGAGAACCACTGGTCTACAGACTAATAGGATTCAGAGTTGAATTGCCCACAGGCAATCGTCCTCAGGTGTGGAGAGTTTTTTCAACAGGTGGGGCAGTTGCTTCTGTCAGGAGGCTAATTGTTACTTTTAATCTCTTAAGTGGCCTCAAGGTAAGATGTTTTCCTATAGGGTGTGCCAACTGTTTTCCCCCCAGGCAAGGCAGATGTCTATGTGGGAAAGATGTCCTCAGCTGTGTGAGGGAATGACTCAGCACGAAACTTGGGGTGTCTGCCTTCTGAGCCCTATCCCCCGAGTCCCCAGTCCTGGTTTCTGCTCTCACAGCTCCAGTCCACTTCACCCTCCCTCTGCCAGAGCACAAGGTGGGTGGCCCCACAGGGAATTTTTGTGCATTGGCCCTTTAAGTGGGTGCCTGAACTTCCAGCTGCCATTCCCTGGCAGACAGCACCCCACTACTTTTCACAGCTAGATGCTATATGGGTACCATCCTCAGTTTGGTGCTTTCTGCTGGGAAGCCCAGCTTTGGGATTATATCACAGAGTTTTCAGTGGCACACTCCCCCCCCACCCCCCCACCCACCGCAGACATCTCTCCGGGACTTCAGTTGCCATCTGTGGGTGCCCGGCCAGCCCTTTTGAGCCTCCGCCCCTCCTACCAGTCTCTATATGGTCTCCACCTTCGGTCCTTGGGTATCAGGTTTCTCTCCTGTGAGTTTTCCATTGATTATTCAGGAAGCCTTTCCTTATTTCAGTTGTAATTCCAGCTTGTTCCTGGGAGCATTCTGTGCCTTTTGTTTTTTCATTCAGCAGAGGCCTTTTTTTTTTAAAGCAAATTCTTTTTTCTTTTTTTTAATGTTTTATTAAAATTGATTTCAGATAGAGGAAGAGAAACATTGATCTGTTGCCTCCCATATGAACTCTGACCAAGGACCAAACCCGAAACCTGGGTAGGTGCCCTGAATCGGAATCTAACCACCGACCTTTCAGTGTGTGGGATGATGCTCATCCACTAAGCCACACCTGCCAAAGCTACATTTTGTTTTTAAATTCCTTTAATGTCATGTAAAGTGGGGTTTTGGAGAGAGAGCTTGTGTGTGTGTGTGTGCTCAGTCCAACATCCTCTCTTATATTAGACAATTGGATCTCTCTTCCTGGTAACTAAAAACAAAACAAAACCACCTCTGTTCATTTCAAATAAAATGTACTTGTAACTAATTGAGGTAAAAACAAAATAAAGCCAAAACCCACATTATTTAAAAAAAGAGGAAACAATTTATCAACTCAACATCCATAATAGGAGCACTTACTAAATGCCAGGTACTAGCTGAGCACTTTACATAAATTATCTTATTTAAAACACTTAATCTATTATCTACTTTAATATACTGAATCCTATGAAACAGAATTATTACTTCTATTTTTCTTATCATTATTCCTATTTGCAAAGAATAAATCTACTCAAGGTCAAACAGTAAATAAGTACTGGCACTAAAATTCAAACCCATATCTGAATAACTCTAACTCCCATAAAAAACCAGATCTCATGAAGAGGAGAAAAAAGAGGGAAAAACTTAGTTTCTCATAATTACCCTTAACTTTAAAGCTCCTAAAAATGAGATAAATTTCCCAAAGCTAAACACTACTGAAATCACATTTGTCTTATGTTTCTTACTAATTTTACCTGTTCTTAAGATAGGCAAGAAAATGGCATCTAGTAATTGCTTTTCTTAGAGGAGGTTCTGTTTACTTATTCTATGAGCCAGACTCACAGACAGCTAACACTGTTTCTAGTACCTTAATGAATTGTTAGTATATGCATATATACATAATAGAGACATGCAAAAGAAGTATTTGTGTATATAAAGATGCCAGGTAGATACAGCAAGAACAAATAAAATAAAACCAAAATCCAAACCACTGATTCCCAAAGTGGGCGCTACCGCCCCCCCCCCCCCCCATGGGCGCTGCAGCGATCCAGGGGGGCAGTGATGGCCACAGGTGCATTTGGGGGCGATGAGTAACTGCTATTAAAATTTTTAAAAAATTAATTTCCAGGGGCTGAGTAATATTTTTTCTAGAAAGGGGGCGGTAGGCCAAATAAGTTTGGGAACCACTGATCCAAACCATACAAAACAGAGAGATAGGGAAGGGGGAGGGGGAGTGAATTAAGATGATAGTTATGCATATCATTAAGTTAATGTATATGAAAGTATTTGGACTAAGAAGGTCTATAAATGTCAGATAAGCCTGGCCGACATGGCTCTGGCGTGGCTCGGTGGTTGAGAATCGACCTATGAACCAGGAGATCATGGTTTGATTCCGTCAGGGCACATGCCCAGGTCGCAGGCTCAATCCCCAATGGGGGACGTGCAGGAGGCAGCTGATCAACAATTCT